GGGGAGGAATAAATGCCTGATTAGCACATTGCCTTTAACGGATATACCCTCTTCTATTTGATGGTATTGTACCTCTGTATGGGTATACTTTTGGACTGTATCCCGTCATATTTGCTCTATTTTCCTACTCTGTGCAGATGGGCTCGAAGAGGTGATGTTTGGGAGGCTGCTGATTTGATGCAACAAATGAGGCAAGAAGGGGTTCAACCTGACATCCATACCTATACTTCTTTCGTAAATGCTTGTTGTAAAGCTGGAGACATGCAGGTATCTGTGTGATGATATATACAACTTTGGCGGCATTTATATTGCTAATTCAGCTTTGCTAAAATGCCTGAAAATGGATATGTTGATCTCATATGTTGCTTTGTGTACTGTTCTATACAATTGAGGTTGTTCGCGTTTAGAATTTAAAGACAACTAACTTCTACTAATGTCTACTATGTGCATTATGCTTCTCTGGAACATATTGAGTACTATCTGAAATATGTATGAGTCATGTAGCACTATGTTACCAACTCCGTGGTCCTAATAATGCTTACCGTGCTCCATATATTTGCATGAGACACTACTTGGAATTTGATTTTAGTTTCTTTGAGTCATATCATATGCTCTGCCTAATGGTAGCTTTTCATTGCCCCAAAAAATGTTTATTTTTATTTCCTCAAATAGTCAAAGGACTACAATCAATATTTGTTTTGTTTCAGAAAGCAATGAACACAATTCAAGAGATGAAAAGGGTTGGGGTTAAACCCAATGTTAAAACCTATACCACTCTCATACACGGTTGGGCACGGGCTTCGCTTCCAGAAAAGGCTTTAAAATGCTTTGAAGAGATGAAGAAATCTGGTTTGAAGCCGGACAAAGCCGTATATCATTGTTTAATGACATCACTGTTGTCAAGAGCCACAGTTGCTGAAGATTACATAATAACAGGGATCCACCGCGTTTGTGAAGAGATGGTGGAATCTGGATTGACTGTTGATATGGGAACTGCAGTTCATTGGTCCAGATGCTTGCGGAAGATTGAGAGAACCGGAGGTGATATAACAGAAGCTCTTCAGAAGACCTTCCCTCCTGATTGGAATTCCCACAGAAATCTTAATGCAGCTTCATATGATACCGGGAATAACGAAGGGTTAAACGATAGTGATCACGACGATGGTCCTTTGTATGAGATTGACAGTGACAGCGACGGTGACGATGATACAAATGCCCCCACGATGTAATCAGAAGGTAGCTTGATGAAATTCAATTAGCACTCCAATCGGTTTATATGTATTAGGTTGGGCTATTTGTGTAGAAAATACAGAAAAGAGGTCTCAGATGTAAATGGAATTTTGACACTAGTTGGGTCCTGTGTTATAAAAAGCCGTTGCTTCATCGCCTAAGGTGAAGAATGCATGCGAGGGGAGGGGTTATCGCTTCATAGGTGAAGCCGTGTGCTAAAGTTTGAGCCAGATGAAAAACTGTCTTCGTTGAATCTCAACTTAGAGGAGTTGGATTAATATCGGCATTGTTGTATATTAGATGATGAAATCAGTTATTTAAAATTGCAATTTGATTATCATAGTACTAAATTCATATATGTATGATATTTTTTTTAACTTTCTATAACATTGTTGGTTCTGAATGATGCCCGATCAAGATCGAAAAATTTGCTATGTTCTTGTTTTGGCACAAGGAATTGCAAATGCCCCTTTACCAGATATCTTGGAGACATTGTAGCCAGCAGAATTCAGTCTTCAACCTGAAATATTTCTTCTTTTCGGTCTTCGCTAGGATTTAAACTTTGGTATCTCATGATTTTCACTCACTTAATTGACCGTTAAGTCAGATTGTTGGGTGCGATATACTTAATTATTATCGACTCTTCCTAGCTTCTGAGCTTTGCTGGATAAATTGTACGTAGCTTTTTAACTGTGTACCATAGATCACTGTAGTAGATTCCAACTTCCAACATTCCAAACTGAAAATGTTATTTGCAGAAACAGTAATAGGAAACCATCAAATTATGGGTACCAGAAACTTGCTTTGTCTGAAGCCTGTTTGTACTTTTAATGTTCTTCTATACGAGCAGAAGCCCCTGTTGACGGTGTCTGAACCAAAGACCAAATGCCTTTTATTTCTTGCTGTACTAAATTGTCTACTAGGTACTATGCACACCTTCTTGTTTTCTGGTATCAGATTGAAATACTAAAAATTTGAATATTCCTCTTGGATTTTACTACGTTAGATGCAGGAATAATTTCCTTTGTCTAAACTAAGAAAACGTGTACTATATAAATCTGGTAGTGCTTTATGAATAATTAACCGAGTCAGCATATACTGAATACCATAAGATTATTAAAATAAATAATAATAAAAATTGTGCGGTGCTTTTGGGTGGTCACATGGATATATTGAGTGAAAAGATACTAATGAATTTGCTCTTGGAAAGAGATATCTTTGATTGCACTAAGGATGTAGTACAGTGGTTACGAAGAGGGTTGAGAATTATGAGATGTCAGATTCAAATATCAGTCGCGACAAAAATATTAGGTGATTTCTTTAATAGAATATTTCGAGTAATTTATCGAGTTGCACTTGACATCACGAATGTAAAAAAGAAGAAGATAAATATATTTCAAAAGATTGTATTTTCTGTTGAAAAGAGATGGTATTAGAAGTAAAAAGTACGTTATGTTTTTTTTCCATAGATCATTAATCGTTGCTACGAGTTTTAAGGTGTTTTATTCCAACAGTTGAAGAGTAAATACGCATTATGAAAATTTTAGTTTCTTAGATCTCTATTTATCACAAAGTGCAAAATATAAATTAACTAACCATGATTAAATAATAGAAATTTATGTAAAAAGAATATTTCACGTCCTAATGTTTCTCCAAGAGTCATGAATGTGCATGTAAGCTTTTTCAACCTTATATTCTACTTATTATATCAAAACAAAAGGGAATTGATGGACTAACAAACACAACTAATCATGCTAACTTACTGACATTGAGTTTTGGAGAAAACTAGTATGACATTTGCCTGAAATAGTCATAATTAATTAGGAGTATTATTAATTTCAACCCCCGCCAGAAACTATTTATATTCGGTAGCCGAAAAAGTATATAAAATTTGTATAATTTTTATATATAACATACATAATGTATATATATACAAAAAAATATAGTTTTTCGACTATTATTTTGAGAGCGCCTATACAATGTTATTTTCCCAATTAATTACTAATAATTACTCATTACGTTTCATAATTAAGTTGGGCGTCCTTAATCAAGAACTACCCGATAAGTACTACTTTCCTAAAGCATGCTAAGTAAGACCTCAGATTTCTTAATTATACCACCCCTAATTGACATATATTGTTAATAGTACGGAACATATATGATTATCAGAATTTGATAATGCACGTCTTTATAAGGGGACATTATGAAATGATGGTTAATCTTTCAATATCTTTTTAATTAATTGAAAATCATGAGTTTAAAGCTATAATTGAACTTCAATCATACAACGTCAATATACCATGTACCCCACCCCACTGTCAATGCACGTACTTCTACTAGTCATGAAGAGTGGTAGAGAGGGGACAAAACAGTTCATATACATACATTTTTGCCATAAAAAATAAGATTATTAAGATAAGAATATCAAATATTCCAATAGAAAATCTTCTAATCACACGAGGGAAGGATCAGTAGAAACTTCTTATCGATTGAAAAATAATTGAGACTACAATAAAATAGTCTAAAGTCTTGTTGGAACTTTGCACTTAGATATAATCCTCGCATTTTATGTTTTGGCTGTCTCAGAAAAATGTGTTTAACTGATACATTTTGGAGGAGTTTAGGTGTTCAATAAGTATTAGCATGAGTTCAAGTGTCTAACAACTTGTTTGGATGGTTGCTACATTTCGTTTCATAATGTATCGTATCGTATTGTATTATATTGTACTGTATCGTTTGATAAATATAATGTTTGAATAGATTGTATCGTTTGTCGTAGTTTCATGATATCAAGTACCAATAATATGATAAATAAACCTGCAATATCATAAAGAAAAATTATGACACGGATAAAATTATTATATAAAGGAGGAGAAAAGATAAAATAAAATTATTTAATAATAATGAAGAGCGAAATGAGAGAAAAAATCAAGGTAACGACACGACCATACTAAATCGGTCGTTACACAAAGTGACATTTTTCGTCGTTACGTAATGACGAATTTAACGATACGATACAATAAAATTTAAGTAACAATCAAAACAAACATTGTATTTAAAATAACAATACGATTGGATACAATAGGTAATAACCATCCAAACAAGGTGTAAATGAAAAAGTCGGACAAGTTTTAGAGTCCGTGTATATATTTGGCATATTTCTTATTTAGTTTTAGTTAGCCTGATATATACCCCTTGATATCACAAGCACCTCCATCAATATTAGATCAAATAGAATAAAGAGAACCAAATATTCTAGTTAAAGAGATATATATGTGTATGGATTAGAAAGTATCAGACGTTAGATATTCCTATAGTGAAAGAAAGTGCATGCTTCTTGTATTTATTTATTTATTTTCTTGTCTTCTCTTGATGCTTCATCAAGTGTCAATCTTCAAGGGTACGGTTTTCCTTCTTTTACTTTAATTTTTTAATAACTTATAATTTCACACGGGCTTTCTCTAGCTAGGTAGACATACCTTTTTCCTTTTTTTTTTTTTTTTTTTTTTTTTTTTTTTTTTCTGGAGGTAGACATATATTACATGCATAAATAGGAGTTCGGACCATCTATGATTGAAGTTAAAAAAATGAAATTAAAAGTGGAAAAAAATATTTGAGATTTGAAGCTCGGCTGAGCTTTAATTGAAAATTATTTTTATAAAACTTGAAGATTTGTGAGTGAAAACCATTATTTCACCTGAGATACTTCTCAAGTTATACTTCAAAATCTCACCATTCGTTCGGAAACTGAAATTCAAGTAGCAAAGGAATCAATAAATGGATGGAAATTCTCCAATCTATTGCTACTCTCACTTCTATCTCCTACGATATATCTCTAGATTTTCCATCTATTTGGGTAAAATCGGTTCGTATTAAATACTCGAATAATAGAGCGACACGTGAAACCGGAGACAGACGGAAAGCGATGTAAGTGAAAATCAAGACCGGGGACAGCAACTTTGGTTAACACCGGGAAAACAAACGAATATCGCTAATGAAGACAAACGAATGTTTGCCACCCGATGACATTCAATGAAGAATATTCTCCAGTATTAAATACACAATCATCCAGAATTTTGGCATTCATAGCCTGCCGTTACACATTCATCAATGGCCCCATAATTGTCATTTAAGAGGGGTTTGATCCTAGGACCTTGTTCCCTAGGTGAAGCTACAAATAGTGACTTCAACAACCATTATTGGACACGAATTTTCTGACAAACTTATGTTACACATTATTCTAAGCTTAATAACACATTATTTCTTGTCTATTGATATTCTTATTACTACATTCGGAAACTCTTCTCCCGGAATCAAGCTATTTGTTGATTTATCTCGATTTCAATACTAAGTCTTACATTTTATTTAATTTATTTATCATTTTGGGATCAAATCGATTCGCTTGTCTATAAACCACGTTATAAATTCAAATTATATCGCTTTACGGGTAAACATATATCTAATCCAACGAATAGAAGCTAGTCGCTTTAACCTATCTTGTAATAGTAGTCTTTTAGCATCTCAGAAAAGACTCTATTTATGACAATCAAATTGATACTCGTTGAATTAATTAATACTACAAATATTTAAAATCGATTTGAAAATTGAAATAATTATATTTGATGTCCAAACGGCAATTATTAGAGAGAATTACTTATATCATAGTATATGATGTCAAAGAGGGAAGGTGGGCGCAGGGGCACATGTATTTTAATTTGTCCATTAGTTAAAAGAAATACCCTGTGTGTTTTAGGTTGCAACAAAACTTGTTGATTCACTATTACTAGGCTAGACTCCATTTTTCAATGATGACAACCTTTTATTAGCATAGTTGGTTTTCTTCTGCGTTTAATCATCTTTATTTTGCATGCATGAATATCTGATGATGATGACTTCCATAACTGCTCTTAGGACCCCATTCTTCTTGTCTTTCTTAATAAGTTTTTAACACAAAAAAGATTAACTAGAGGTCTCGGGTACACGAGACCTGGGCAGGGACACAGCTAGAATACGGATTACGGGTTCGACTGAATTCAGTAGTTATGATCCAAACTCTATATTTATCTTAAGAAATTTATTGAATATGTATAAATTATTAATTTAGAACCCAGTAACTTAAACAAACTAGAATCTTGAACGCATGAATTTTAAATCCTGACTCCGTCTCTGGCCCTCGGTATGGAGTTGTCTTTGTTAGAAAGCGTTTTATCTCTCAATGTGAGATTTTTCGATGCAAATCTAAATTTAATCAAACCCTGACGTGTACATCGGATGGGAAACAAAAAAAAAAGAAGAAGAAAGAAGGATATTGAATGTCAATAGAGGGAATTGCACATGATCGACTGTATGTGCAAACATTTGTTTAAAGATGTTTC